ACAATGGATGAAGGACTTCTGCCTTCTTTTCTCATCAAAATAATTTGATGCTTTATTTTTCTTTGTCGTGTGAATTCCATAGACTCATCACTATTTTCAAATACTGACAGTTATAATCAAGGTAAAGCATCTCATTCACTATAAATTGCTTTCTGTCCGAATAGAAATGAAAAGTACACCTTGACCAAATATTTTATACATTGTTCTCATGTATTCATTTATCCTTTTAAGCATATTGTATATATTTTTCAAACATTTAAAAGTTATTTTTCTAAGTACATTAATGCACATGAGTTAGATCAAGATGAATATGCATTTTGGGAAAGTGTTGACTATAGAATATTTTAAAGCAGAGCAATTTGGTTAGTGTAAATAATTGTAGAAACTAAGATAATAGTATTAACAGTGGTCCTAACAGGAACTGCTCTCATGAAAAGATTCGGTAGTATATTTTTAACATGTTGGTGAATATTTGTGAGTTCTAAAGTTCTTTAAAAATTCCGAAAAATTGGAAACAGGTGTCCTAAAATCCTGTGACATCACAAGCTTTCTGTGATCCAACCTATCATTTCGTCTTTCAACACTGATTCGTTCAACAAGCATTTTTTTTTTTACAGTTTATGAATGTGGTCCTATACTAGGAGCTTAGTGTATACCTGCTAGTGGGAGAAATAGACCCATCAGTAGATAACTGTAATACAGTATGGTAAGTGCTGTGTCTGCTCACGGGTAATGAGAGAACTCATACATCAGCTAGTTTATGCGTGTATACTCAATACACTTTTTGCTCTCTCACATTACGCTCCTGCTGCAGTGGTCTTCTGAAGCTCTGTGTATACGTATAAATGCTGTCTGTTCTTCAGGGCTGAACTTAATCTCTACTTTTTCATGGAGCCATTCCTCATGTTCTTACCGTCTCTTAACTAAGGGTAATCTCTTTCTCAGAGTGCACAAGTTTAGAGAAGTTAGTGTATATGTCAGGCCTCTTGCAGACAGGATGTCTGCAGCTATGCCCTCATAGAGAAGTTTTTAACTGAAGTTCGTGGCTTCAAAGGAGATCCGTGAGTCCCTGAAATTATATGCAGAGTTTCATATGTGTGTTTATATGGGAAGCAGGTCTCTAGCTTTCATCTGATTTTCATAAGGTTATTAGAACTCACCTTTTTCCTTTAATTTAGTAACTGTATGAAAATCAGTATTATAGCATAACCTAAAAATATTAAACAGTACAGTATTGCTATGTAGGCATAGAGGAAAGGGGAAGGCATTTTAGAAGGGAAAAAGAGCATGAGGTAATGAAGGCTTGAAGTCAAGACAGACTTTAAGGAGTCTTTACAGTTCCCTCATTTAAGCTGAGATTTCTGATGTCTTAACAGGTTAATATGCATAGGTAGAATAGTGGAGGTGTTTGAACTGTATTCTGCTGGTAATGGGGAACCAGTGGAAGTTTCTGAGAAGTTAACTATTGAGAAAAAGGCATATTTAATAATGTAATGAAATTTTTTCTAATATTGACTAAATACCTAAGTATAGTCAATATCAGAAGTGAGAAGGGTTTTAATTACTTAAGACACATGGAAAATTACAAAGCTAGCTTCCCCCCCCCCCCCGCCACCGCGGTACGCGGGCCTCTCACTGTTGTGGTCTCTCCCGTTGCGGAAGCACAGGCTCCGGACGCGCAGGCCCAGCGGCCATGGCTCACGGGCCCAGCCGCTCCGCGGCATGTGGGATCTTCCCGGACCAGGGCACGAACCCGCGTCCCCTGCATCGGCAGGCGGACTCCCAACCACTGCGCCACCAGGGAAGCCCTAAAAACTTTCTTTAACTGAAAGATGATACTAATGTAAATCACATCTATGCCTCATTTTTTTTTCCCCACTCAAAATCTTAATTATATCCTCTGATTGGGGGAGATACTGAAGAACATAACCCAAATGGGAATCCACCAGTGGTGGGTGGGCACTTTGGAGTCCTTTAGGTACTTGTAGAGTATAAACAGATTTTCTTAGCATAGAAGTCATTTCTCTAAAATAGCCATGTAAACTTTTTTTAGCAACTTCTTGCTGTATAATAATCCCTGCTAAAGCCCTGTTGATTTCTTTGTTGTTGTTGGAAGTAGAGAATTGTCTAAGGTAGCATAGATCAGTGCTTTAAAAAAAAACAGATTTTCACGAGAGCTTTTATTGATGAGACTTCTTTAGGAAAAGAGGGAAGTTAGTCAAACTGCTGCCGTATGCTATAATTTATTTTTAACTTATTGTTACAGAGTTTCAAACATACATAAAATAAGCAGAATAGTATAGTGAACTCCTGTGTAGCCATCACCCAGCTTCAGAGATTAGTGGCTCATGTGGGTGATAATATCTGAGAGGTGAGAAATTTGAGTGTGTTTCCACTGCCAGGCCTAAAGTAAAATAGAAGACTAATAGGAATGCGTGGCTGAAGAACAATTATACATGGTGGTTAAGATCTGGGCTCTCAATGCAGGTGTGAATTTGAATCCTACTTCTTTCTGCTCCTTCTGTGTCACTCATATATCCTTGGATAAGCAACTTCCTTTATGCTTGTTTTCTGGGGAGTACCCATCTCATGGGATTTTTGTTAGAATTAAGTAAGATAATATACATTAAACAATTTATACAATGCCCAACAGATAGTATTCTTACAAAATAAATGTTGTTTACAAGATACTGGAGAAATCTGCTTTAGGTATATATATACATGACACAAATCTGAAATACTTTGAAAAAACTTGATTTCCTTTTAACTTTAGGAACATGTATAACATAAGGGTATATATTATGTAGGAAATTAATTAAGAAATAAAGCATTTAGTCATAATTCCCTTTTTGTTCATAGAGGCTCATTCGTGGCACCATGATGTAGTTGAAAGGGTGCCTACATAGGCTCTGGAGCCAGAATAGCTCCTTACTCACTGGTTCTGTCTAACTTCTCTGTATCTGATTTTCCCTATCTATAAAAGGGAATTATAAGAGGCATATTTTAATATTATTGTCAAGATAAAGAGGCAGTATATGTAAACTGCCTGGTGTGAAGTGGGTGCTCAATAAACGGGTATCACTATCATTGTCCCACTCGTGTAGGATTATACAAGAGAATTAACTTTTTTGCTGCTAAGCACACATTGCCTCCTTTACGTTTCAAACTAATTTCTTACCAAGTAGTGTATAAAAAATTGGTTAGAAACCTGTGTGCCTCATGAAACTGAAATGCAGGTTTGTGACCAGCCATATGTGCAGTTGCAGATGATTAGAGGAGCAGTGAAATAACCTTTCCAAGGAGGGCAGAAGTGAAGGATGCATAACGGCCATCAGTTTTCTCAGCCTCCTGTTTGCAAAGCATTGTATTAAATGCTGTGGGAGATGTCATCTCTTAACAACATCTGTATGTGAAAAGACATACATATATCTGTCTGTGAACCTGTACGTGTGCGTGTTTGTGTGTGTGTGTGTGTGTGTGAGAGAGAGAGAGAGAGAGAGAGAGAGTGAGAGAGAGGGAAAAGACAACGTAAGACAGTAAATCAGAAGTGCTGGCCAACTAAATAGTAGTGATATTAAGTACTTTCAGAGTTCTGAGATAGAAATGTTAGTTTTTGCTAGTAGGGTTCAAAGATGGGACACTTTCATGGAGAAGGGGGAAATTTAAGTTATACCTTGAAGGAAAAATAAGATTTTAATAATCAGAGAGCTTCCAGTTATTCCCTCCCACAAGTTTTTCCCCTTCATTCATCTTGTCCTGATTAATTGGGTTTTGGGACCAACCCACAATCCCAGACACGTAACTGGGGCCAAACCATGAAAGAACATTACTGGTCTTCGACCTTGGTCTCTGAGACAACTTCTTAAACTGATGGAACAGGTGACTCAAGGTATTTCTGCCACGTTTTGGAAAAAAGCTTAGAATTTTTTACTTGGAAATGTCAGGTATAAAACATCCTGGTACTTTACAAACAAGTCTAAATTACACACAACCAATCTTGAAACCCCCTCCCCCATGAAAATACCGTATACTTTTGGACAAATGGTAGTAATGTTTCAGAAACAACTTTTTTTCCCTCAATCAGAAGCTATGAAGATGGACATAGGAATCTTACAGATAAACTCTTAGTTTTAGCAAGTTCCAGTGGTTCTACTGTCTTTGGAAATGAGCGTGGTGACGAGAGCTTTTTTGTTATTATAAGCCCATGTATAGTAGCCTCTTGAGTATAAAGTATATTATAATATTTCCATACTTAGTTACAGAGCTTCACTATTCAGGACTGCTGTGGCTGAAACATTCCCTTCCCCCCGCAAATACATAGGAAGGATTTGCTCCTTTAGGTACTTTCCCAGTGATTCTACAAAGAAAAGAATAGGTTCTTTCACATATTCCTAGGAAGACAGCATCACTCTTTGAAACCCTTGACCAAGTGCTTTATCTTTAATATAAATGCTCAGATATGTTTTAAACTTTTAATATTTAATTACAAGGTGTAAGCATTTTGCATGTTAACATCACATGGTTTGCCCCTAGGAAGGAGAAAAGAAAAGCAGTCCCTAATAAATATTTCTCAAGGACTTTTTTGTTCCCCTAGCATTCTAAGGGATTGTAGCTCTTATTATATTCTGCCTGTTATATCATTTAAAGCTTTTGACACCTGCTAATTTAATGGGCATTCCCAGTTATTCTGATATGTCCTAACAGCATAATATCTTGTATTATTGGTAATTAAGATAACCCATTTTGCTTATTTTTCTTCACTTTTGTATTTAGTTTTTAGCAAAACTACATGTTTTTAACAGTATTGTCTTCCTATCATAGCAGATATTTATCTTTTACTTCACGTAGTTGAAATCACCTGAGTAACTGGGTTAATAGCTGTGCTGTGCTGAAGGATTCAGTACCCATGCCTCTGGAGTCTAAACTCTTATTTTTTACTGTACATATATGTAAATAGTAAGGAAATACAGAATCTCGAGGGAAGTAGCAGCTTCCAAAAAGCTTTATTTAACTGAAAAATAGGGCTCTCTTCACATTTCAGAGTCTCATGTATGCCCCTGAAAGACCTAGGGAGTAGGCTGGGCTGGAAAGGTCAAGGCAGAAGGAAACAGAGTTGGAGGAAGAATGGAATCCATTTGTTTCTGAAATTTTCATGTACTAGATTAATAGCTTCCTTTGATCTAGAAAAAAAGACAAAGATTTCTATATAAGTTTATACGGAAGAGCTCTGTATAAATCCTGGCTTTATCAATTATGTTTCTTATAACCTTGGGAAAATGATATAACTTCTTTGTGCCTCAGCTTTCTCATGTATAAATTGGGGGTGATATCAGTACTTACCTGGGAAGATTGTTTTGAGGAAAGAATGAGAGAATTCTGGTGAACGTAGTGCCTGACAATTAATAAGCATTAATTAAAATTAGTACTGTGGTAATTTTTACCAACCTTGACGAGACTAAAATCGTGGACATTGCTTGTTTAAAAGGTTGATTCTTAGTTTCCCTTACCATGAAAACGTAGACGTAAAATACTCTCAATGCTTTGTGATTAAAATATGGTAGTATTTGTATGAGAGAACATAGTGTAGTATTACCGCCCCGCCACATTATATGCAGATTTTGTTTATATGTGGCCATATTGATGTCACCACTTTATTCCTTGAAAAACATACAGGACTTCTTAAACATGTCCTCTAACGGATTAGGGCCATTTTCTTGGTAATAACCAATCAGAACGATTAACGTGAATAGCAGTTCTTAAATGTTGGGCTTGATAATGACTTTCCCACAATTGCTATTTTGGGTCCTTTCTTACTAGCCTGAGGAAATGACAAGATTGAGAAGCATGAACAGACAACTCCAGATAAATGTTGACTGTACACTGAAAGAAGTTGACCTCCTTCAATCTAGAGGTATAGACTTGATTATTTGGTAAACCATAAGTAATAGTGTGGTGTTTTAAGCTGCTTAAATAGCAATCATTTTGGTTTTACAGATATAATGGATAAAAACTCTCTTAAAAGATCACAGTCCTGGTAGAGACCCCTCACTCCATGGTCATAGATCAGATTTGGGTGATCAAAAAAGAGTATTACTTTGGCAACTTCATCATTAAGTTCTTACCATTTAGACTGTTTTATGTTGTTACTCTGTATTTATCCTCTTTTAGTCATTTACTGTGAATATTTTATAAATTGCTGGGGTTTAATTCTAAAACGTAGTAGATTTATATTGTGTGATAGTCATCTAAGATATGTGTAAAAATAGGGATCCCAAATCAGAACATCAGATTTCTCACTTTAAAAATAAGTTCCATATGTGGTTTTTTATGTTATCTGTTACATGAAAACATTCAACTCTATCTTAGATATTTTGTTTTGGGGTGTTTTTTTTTGGCTCTCTTATAGAAGTGTACTACAGTAGAAGCTCGCTTAATAGACTTTGATTTACCCTACTCGCCAGGTTAGAGATATTCTTCATTTTCCTCTGTAAAATACACAGCCAGGAGAGGCTGCATTCTGGCACATCTCTGTACTATTGCTCGCATCAGCTGAATTGTCTGCTTACCAAGAGTCAGTTGTGCCTGTTTTTAAACCCGTTTAAATTACAGAAGTATTGTAACTGGCATAATGTTTTCAAAACTGACATGAATGCGGGAGAAGCTGCTCTTTCTATAAAAGCCATAGGCAACTGCTTTTTAAAGACTCAAAGGCAAACACTTAAAAAAGAAATATATAGGGACTGTGAATTAGATATGGGTGTAAACAACTGAAAATGATAACAGAGGAAAATCAAAAATCTAAGAGGATTCTATTCTCAAGTGCTCTTAAAGTATCTTTTTTGCTCCATTCTAAAATCAAAACAGGAATTATAGATCAGGGTGCAGCAAACTAGCCTGCTCTCTGTTTCTGTAAATAGTTTTAGTGGAACATAGCCAGACCCATTTGTCTGCATATTGTCTGGGGCTGCTTTTGTGTTTCAACAGCAGTTGAGGGCTTACAACTGTATTACAGGTCCACAAAGCCTAAAACTCTTATTATCTGGCCCTTTACAGGAAAAGTTTGCCCACCCCCACTTTAGATCATCATGATGGGTGTAGTTAATCTAAGAAAGACAGTATAGAAGTCTGGTCAACAGATACATAAAGAAAAGGTCTTGGTCCAACATTAAAATATTGCTATGTTTATATGTTTTGTTACATTAAAGTGGGCCTGGGCTTCCCTGGTGGCACAGTGGATAAGAATCCGCCCGCCAATGCAGGGGACACGGGTTCGAGCCCTGGGTCCGGGAAGATCCAACATGCCACGGAGCAACTAAGCCCGTGCACCACAACTACTGAGGCCCGCGCCTAGAGCCCATGCTCTGCAACAAGAGAAGCCACCACAATGAGAAGCCCACACACTGCAAAGAAGAGTAGCCCCCGCTCACCTCAACTAGAAAAAAGCCTGCACGCAGCAACCGACCCACCGCAGCCAAAAATAAATAATAAAGTTGGCGTGTAATTTTTCTTAAGAATTCCGTTTTAGTCAGCCACCCCTCCCCCACCGCCACTTACTATTCTTAATTATGGCAGCTAAGAGAGCTTCTACTGTATTTTAAAGTACCCCGTTGCCATTTTAAGGCAAGATTATACAGTAGAAGCAGGGGAACCAAAAAGATACGGAACTCTGTGAACAATAGACAGAAGCACATTTCCATGTGAAAGCTGAGCAATCTGGTTGGGTACCCTTGAAGTTAATTTCAGAAGCCTAGGGGACTCTACAGCCTAGTAGCTTTAAGCAGTGAAAGAACTACTGTGTGGGGGTTAGACAAACTATTGCTACTACATTAGAAGGTTGCATCAATTTTTTTGCTTAATGTGTTCTTTGAAGCTAAACAAGAAACACTGAAACATTTGGTTCGGATATTTTTAGTAAGCCTTATGGGATCTAGAAATTAGATCGTCAGCTGTAACTTAAGTAATTGAAGAAATACTTATGCAGCATCTTAAAGCATAAAAAGATCTAGTTAATAAATGAAATAGCATTGTGGCTTTCATGAGCCATCACAGGAATTATTTTCAGAAACTTATTTAAAAATAGCATATCTAAATGGATTAAAAGCATTTGTGTATATAGTACCTGCAAGGAAAACTGTTCGTTACTGAGGTTTTATAAACGCAGAGCTGTGTTTTTGGTGTCTGTTGGGCAACAAAGAGCTCTTTTTGGTGCTTAAGCAGTTCTAAATCTCCCTTCATAAGGGGTCCAAATATATCCATTTTATACTAAATTCTACTCCTCCATCCTGTGGAAAAATTTTATACTGAGTTTTCAGCCTAAATTTTTAAGCCAGAGAAGGAATCTAGACATTTTGGGGGGCAGGGCATTTAGATTAGATACAAATCAGTGCGCAAGTTGATGAAAAGCAGCTTCATTGTTGGTTTTGGTGAGGAAAACTTTTGTTGGGGGAGAAAATTAGGTCTAGAAATCAAGATATCCAATATATTTGAACTATCAGTACCACATATCATCCTCTGTAAATAAACATGTATACAGTTTCAAAGCTTAACTGGAATTATGCAGAACTGGCAGATTGCGATGATGGGTTCACAGATGTGAAGGTAGGACCCAAAGTTGGCATTGGATCAAAACTGACCTTGCCGGAGTCATGTCAGGAGAAGGGGCTGAAACAGACACTGTATCAGGGAGTGAACATTTTGAGAGAGGTGAGATTGTTCTATCTGTTATTCTGAAATTGGCAGCATATCATCTTTTATTATTGATAAGTCTGTAGGGAACATTTAAGATTCTCCTTTTCTTGAAGATAGGAATCCCTGAGCTGCTGCTATCATAACCACTTGATTAATCTTGGTAAATTTATGTGTAGCTTCTTCCATACTTGAATTTATAATGGATAAAATTTTAAGGTTAATATGAAAGACATAAACGTGAGCTTTCTCATGGTTTTGTTCATTAAAATCAAAACAAACAGAGAAAACAGTTGTCATCCTTTCATTTCTCTTCTTCATTTACCTCCCTATGTGCGCCACACACTTAATCCTGTGTAAAGAGATGAGCTTTATAGTTAGAAAAATGTTCCTTTAGGTGATACATTGTAGAAAGACACTGAAGTGGTAGTTTGCTTGGGTATTTTCTCAAAATGGTAAAACAGTTTCAGTGGGAGAAGGGTAGGATAGTATAATCATTTTTGAAACCCTGGAAAAACAGTTCCCCTTTTTACATGTTTTATTTCCATATTTTCCTCAACAGAAATTTCAAATAACAGGAGAAAAAGTCCTAAATGCTTGCTGATTTTATTTTCTTTATAGGTAACTTTGATCCAAAAGCTATGAATAATTTTTATGACAACATAGAACCTGGTCCTGTTGTACCACCCAAGCCACCTAAAAAAGGTAAGTAGGGAAATGTCACAGACGTCATAGAAATGAATATGAAAATTCCTTGGCAGTTCACCTAAAAAGCTGAAGAAATTTCCACTAGAGATAGCATTTTAAAAGTTACCCTATTGATGTTACTGTGGCAATAATGAAATGTCCCCAAAACCTTAATTTCTAAAAAGTACGAAATAACTCCTAGAGGTCAAAGGTAACTAAAATATGATATACAATTTATTTTGTAAAAAATAACTTGAAAAAAATTGTTATTTTGTATAGTTGATTTACACTGTTACGTTAGTTTCAGGTGTACAGTGAATTTGGTTCTATTATAATACACATATACCCATTCTTTTTTCAGATTCTTTTCCTATGTAGGTTATTGCAGAACTCTTTTACAGAGTAGAGTTCCCTGTGCTATAAGTAGGTCCTTGTTGAGTATATCTGTTATATAGTTGTGTATATGTTAATCCCAAGCTCCTAATTTATTCCTCCCCCACCGTCTTTCCCCTTTGGTAACTGTAAGTTTGTTTTTGAAGTCTGTGAGTCTGTTTCTATTTTGTGAAGAAGTTCATTTATATCATTTTTTAAGATTTTTATGGCTGAGTAATATTCCAGTGTGTGTGTGTGTGTGTGTGTATGTGCCACATCTTCCATACCTTCTTTATCCATTCCTCTGTCGATGGGCATTTATGTTGCTTCCATGTCTTGCCTATTGTAAACAGTGCTGCGGTGAACATTGGGGTGCAGGTACCTTTTCAAAGTATGGTTTTCTCCAGATGTATGCCCAGGAGTGGGATTGCTGGAA